GAGGCAGGTGCCTTCACATCGGGACGCCAGGCGTCCCTGAATCGACTCGTAGTTGTAGTCGGTTGCGCGCGCGACTTGCCGCAGGAGCTCCTGCGCTCTGAGAGAAAGAGCCGCTGCCAGCCGAAGAGGAAGTCGCCAGGTACACGTCTGCTTCGCTCCGAGCGCGCGGACCTGCGAATCGTCGCCGTCATCGCCGTCATCGCCGTCACCTTCGCCGTTGTCGTTGCCGCTGTCGCCGCTCACCGCGGGAGCGAGGGGAAGATGTCGAGCTCGCAGCGTATGCGAAAGTCCTCACCATGCTCGAAGCAGGGTCCGATGCGCGCCACCCTGCCTGTGAGCTCGCTGATGAGGCAAGGCCGGCAGAGTAGCAGCCTCCGCAAGAGCAACAGTAACAGTCCCACCGTCTCGCCGACGAACGCGGTTTGGCGGGCGCGCATCTCGCCGGAGACGTCGTCTTCCTCGGGACAGCGGAGCCCCGGATCCCTGTCCTACAAAGGTACGTTTCGCGACCCTTCTCCCCTCCTCCCCTCTTTCCCCAAGTCCTCATCCCCCTCCCTCCCCCTCCGCCCCGCGGGCTTGTTCTTTGTGCTCGTTGAGTTTTGATCGAGGAGCACGTAACATTCGCGTACGTAACCCCTTGAACACCGGTGTCGTCATTGTGGACGAATATCTGGCCCAGTGATGTCTCTGGAGCTCGAGGGGTCCGGTGTTGTCAGTTGGTTCTTAAAAGCATGTAATTCCTGGAGGTCCTGTTCTGTTAAAAGGTACGTAAATCGGAGTGATCTGTGCTTAGTTTTGTTAAATTAATTAATATTTTTTATAATAATAAGATGTTTTGCATTACTATCCAAGTTATATAAGTTTGTTGCATTTGCTGCAAATTGGAAGAGGATTTTGTGTGAAGTACTTTTTGAAATCATAAGTTGTTTACAATTACGATGTTAAGTTCTCCTCATTTTGGTCATTTGCAACACAGAATAGAGAGAAATAGAAGAGATGAGAGAAAAACTCATAAATTGTTTTTATCACATACAATTCGGTATCATAAGCTTTATATCTCTTTATTATTGTGTTCACCTAAGTATTCAATATGAGAAAAAACATTATCTTTTTAATACAGTTGAATTGTTTGCTCCAAGTTTGCTTATTTGTTGTCTGGTAAGTGACTGATTTTGCACTTTTATTACCGCTTACTATATCATAATGTATAACTTTGTTTCTAAATTTTATAAATTATCATTTGCTCAAGTTATACACTTTATAATTGTTTTGAAAAATAAAAATTACTTTTAAGAGAAGCCTTAATAGAGCTTCTTGAAATATTTTCACTTATTTTTATATACACGCCACAACAATAGTAACCGAAGAGACATTTTTAGTTCGGTTACATTTATTATTTTTATAATTGTTTTCTTATTTTATTTTACAAATACACTTTTTAGTTGATCCAGCAACCGAAAACAATGCTTATAGTTCGGTCTGGGGTATATATTTAATTCAATTTTATAATTTATTTATTTCAGAGTTTTCATTTTTCCTTTTCATTTAATTGAATATTATTGTATTTTACAGCCAAATCAAAAACATTGAGTGGCC